TCACCTAGAAAGAAATAGCTCAACTACAACATTAAATCCACTAGTAAAAAAAAGTATACAAAAGCAACTTCTTAAGGTTATTTAAAGACAAGACAATCTATCAGTGAATGTTGGGATTATTTATTTTATATTTAAATAGCTAAACATGCCATCCTGCATTTAAAAGTGTCAAGTTCCAAGTTTAGTTTTCGTTAAATTCAAATGATTTGTACATGCTTTGAAAAAATATTCACCACAATGTATTAATATTTGAACTTTAAGAAAAATCATATGCATTTCTGAGACCCTTTTCTACTCACATTAATTTTTAAAACAATTTCTCTTCCCCTCTTGCCTGATGCTGAGTTTTTAAAAGCTGAAAGATTTCCCTCACTTCTAACTAAAGCTCTTCTCTTTCTAGCTATATATTTCTAAATTCCTATGAGTATTCATTTAGCATAATAGCTTAAGATATTTCAGTATTTGATATATGTTGTATTAATATGGGGAAAATCTTCAGTACTCTTCTTATATATTATATATGAACATACATTTATTATAAATAATGATTTCTTAGATATTCCCTCTTAATTCCATAGGTTTTTCTCCTGAATTATATATATATATATTTTTTTTTCTATTACTAAGTATATGTTATTTTCCCTCCTCTCCTGACATTACAGTTTTACTTTTCAATGGACTAGGAAACATATTAATAATATGCCCTATTTACCATTAAGTCTGAATGAAATTTCATTTGAGGGACAAAGAAAGGAAATTCTATTTAACCCCTTTACAGAAATGAAACAATTTAACCCCTGTACAGAATGTAAAATATCCCTCTTACGATATGACTTTATGTTAATCACTTTCTCCCAATGAAGATTCATGTCTCAAATTGATTAAATTATCACCAAAATTTTACTTAATATAAGTGGGGAAAATGACTCATTGTGGCACGATTACTTTCATAAAACTATCCAGACTTCATGGTAAACAGTTCTCATCCTTTCCATAATATATAACGTTGTTATCATATTTTTAGATTTTGTTTTACTCTTATCCACGTGTACCATTTTATTTCCCTTTCACAACTATGGCCAAAGTAAAGTAAAAATTAAATACCACGTAGCTTTGTGGCTTCATCTCCCCACCTATCATTGGCAGTTTCTAGCAGCAAATGACAGAAATTCTAAGTCAACCTTTTAACTCCAAATACATGGAAATGAATTTCCAAAGGATAGCTATTTTTATCATATGAGCAAAAGGCACAGTTGTATAATGACAACACAGATGAAGATGCAAATATGTAATTCTGATAACTATGTATAAATCATATGCATGTATGCAGAGTTAAAACATCATACAGTCCTATTTTATATCTTCACACACACTACTCTGTAGATTTAGGGGAGGTTGATAAAATGAGAAAGTATGCAATTTCGTGCTAACAGGAGCCTTTTTGGTTGGGTGATTGCCAAGGCAACTTTCAAAATATTTCAAAACAGCTGCCAGCGTAAAAAGATTTTAACTGAAGGAGGAAAGTCATGAAATCTGAATGAATAATGAGAGAATAAACTTCGTTTTTGCTTAAGATCCTTAATGAATACTGAGATAACCAGATAAAATAAGGAATTTGCCTCTAGCACATGCAAACCAACCTTCCCAAACTACATATATAAAGAGAAAACACAGGAATAGGCTTATTGTTTGCATTATGAAGCAATCAACTATGTGAGTCGTCTTTTTCTACTCTTTGGGTTATATTTTAGAAAGTTTCTGAAAGGCAGGAGCCATACTAATTCTTTTTAAATGGATGGCTGAAAGCTTGAACATAGAAGTTGACTATGTTCATTAGATCCCATTTTAATAGTATAAAGTGTAACTGAAGCAGCTTCCGTTTATCTTGTTGTAAATGTCTAACAAAAGACTGCATTCTTTCTTTCTATTGGGTCAATTTTTAAAACTAGAATTCCCAAGAAAAATCTGGCTTGTGAAAGGGAAGGAAGGGGGGGCATGTTTCTAGATCAACTATTCTGTAAAGTAAGTAGAATACATCTGCTGACATCTTCCATTCATAGAATTAGGATTGAAACAAAGCAAAGTGGTGCTAAACTCAGAGTTTTAAAGATGACTCATTTTGCAGGAAGTCCTTAGAAGGGATACTAATTTTCTGAAAACGCTTCTCTTTTGCTCACTTGGTGCACTGGGTTAGCCTCTGGAGCAAGAGGATTCCGTTTGGAATCTTGCATTGCTTTTCTGGAGTCTCAGAACACGTGGAGACAAGAGCCTTTTGCTGGAAGCCTCCATCAGTTGACTGGCCCAGACATTCGGTGGCAGGACAGCCCATCTCACAGTGGACCAATAATTTGGACAAATTCTATTTTCTAGAAAGCCACTGCTTGCCTCTGAGTTCATTTTTAGCCTCATTCATCAACCCTTTAAGGAGCTCCCTTTCGCCTAACATCATGAGAGCCCTGACCTATGCAGTCAGAAAAGGAAAACTTTCCTTAACCCCCGAAACATTGCTGACCTTTCTAGAATTGGCATGAACTTTCATTTACTAGGGAAGTCAGGGGTTGGTACTTGAGATGCATTCTTCAGATCCCGCCATGAAGGTGATGGCGAGAGAGGAGAAACACAGAGACTCCAACTAACCAGGATCACCGAACTTGCTGCCTTCCTAGTGGACCAGGACCCACCTCCCCTATGCCCCCAGGTCCCTTAATCACCAAAGACCTTGTATTTGACTACTGAACAACAGGTACCCCGGCATGAGCAGCTTTAAACTAGAAAAGGACCCCTTTCCGGGAAGGAGAGAGTCAGGACCTCCTTTAGGTCCTTAACTAACTCGTGGGATCCTTCTCACTCTCCACAGATGCTCATTACGAATTCTTTTTCCGTGCAACATGTGGGGGACGAAGCAGTTTCATATCTCTTGGTATTATCTGCCGTCCAAAGCATTTTCTTTGAGAGAAAAATGGAAACGCAGCTGCGCGGTGGGCCTGGCCAGCGTGAGCTGGGGCTCCCTCCCTCTGTCTCCTGGCGGCTGCGGGCGCGGGAGGCTCCTCCCAGGGACTGACTCTGGCTAGGAGCGCTGAGGTTGCCCGAGTTGGCAAGGGACGAGGTCGGGGCGGGGACGCGCCTTTGTGCGACTGTGTGATTTTCTTGATAGCCACGAGGGTGGCAGGGGCCTCCGGGTCTGCAGCGATGACAGGAACCTCGACCCCACGATCCTTTGCGGAGATTCATTATCTCTCCCGGCCTCTGCAACTTCTAGCCAATCTGCCCTGCCCCGTGGTGCCTGCGCGGGCTGGCTGCGCCCCAGGCGCAAAGGGTTAAGCAGGTGTCTCGTCAGGCCGCGCGATTGGCCATCGGCGGGGGCGGTGCAGTCGTGGTCACTGCGCTCCGCTGGGTCCAACTTGGGTTCGCGCAGCGGGCTCCACATGCACTGGTCCCGGTCGCCCGGCCACGGCTCGGCGCGCGGGGAGAGAGAGGTCGGGGCGCAGAACAAGTGGGGAAACCACCAGCAGTGCCAGCCCAACAGGGAGGGGGCGGGGGCAAGGAGAGCGGAGGTCGATTCTCTGGCGCGCAGGGACTGCACCCTCCGCCTGACATCTCCGCCGGGGGCTGGCGGCCGAACCAGAAGAAAGAGGAAGGAAGTGGGGCAACGGGTGGTCCTGGGCAGGGGGTGGGGGCTGGGGAACAATAACTCCCCACTGTCCCCACCCACTTGTCTGGCAACGAGTGCAAGGAGTCATTCAAAAAGGAGCCCCTCAGGATTTCTCCCTATCCTCTAAAGAAACACCGAGGTAACGGATTTGGAGAAGTCACCAAGACACCGGAGAAATAAATACACGTGTTTTCTCTTTTTGTTTCCCTGATGCTTAGAATTCCAGAGTTTGTCTCAGTTGTAGCTGCTAATTTATTCGCTTTCTCAGTCGCAAGGGGCGCGCGGGGGTGGGTCACCAGGGCACACACGGATTTCCTGGGCCCAGACCTCCAGTTCCCATCTCCAAAGTTTGTCCAGGACCAGCCTGACCACACACCAGGAGCAAGGAGTCTGTCCTTACAAACGGAACAAACTCCATTGCACAAAAGAGGTTTCTTTTCCTCCCCCTCCTCTTGCGCGCACCATCCCTCCTCGAAAAGCATCAAGTTCTAGGGGAGACCCAACTTGCATTGGCAACACTTGCGCAGCCTGGTGTGCACAGGACGGGCAAAGAGGGGTCCTGGCCGAGAGGACAGGATTAACGCCCCATTCCTGCACATTCGGGCTCAAGTCCAGGTTGCTGGAAGCCGCGGGAGGCGCGAGCCTGCCTAGATGATGGTTATTTCTCTAGAGAAAGGAGAGGAGAAAGCGCGCCTCAGTCTTGCACTTTGAATCGGAAGTGCGGGGCGTGTGTGTGTGTGTGTGTGTGTGTGTGTGTGTGTGTGTGCGCGCGTGCAGAGTGGGGCGGGAAAGAAAGACACCCTCCACTGCCCGTCATTCCCTTGCACCGGCCAAGTCCCCGCCAAGCCTCTCGGTGCATCCTTCCTCCACCACCCCCTCCCCTTCTTCCCTCAGCCGGGCTCGCGCGGCGCAGCCGGAGCAGCCAGTGAGAGCAACATCCTGCAAAGAGGGGGGAGCACCACCGTCCCCCAAAAGGGAAAAAAGGCCCCACCCTGACACGTTTTGCTGTTTGCAAGTCCCTAGCACGCCCCCCGCACCTCCTCCTTGCGTTCCGGGCCCCCCTAGTCCGCCGCGCGCACATCAAAGCGCCTCTCCGCCGCGCACAGTGGCCGCGGCTCACTAATGGGATTGCAGGCTGGTGCCTGGCTCCGCTGCTGCTGCCGCTGCTCGCGCCGCTGCTGCTGCCGCTGCCGCCGCCCGATCCCGAGCCCCCGCCAGCCCTCGCCCAGAGCCGCCGCGTCCGGGCCCCGAAGCCGCGGCGATGATCCGCATTTTCCCGGATTTCAGCGTGCAGGTGACGGCCGCGGCGGCCGGAGGGGCGGCCGCAGGGGTGCCGGCCAGCGCGGGCATGGGGAGGGCCGGCGCCGCGGCCAATGGCACCCCGCAGAACGTCCAGGGCATCACCTCCTACCAGCAGCGGTGAGTAGTCCCGCCTGAGCTGGGATAGAGCCCCTGCCCCGGGGTGCTGGGGTGGGACTCACTTTGCCTCTTGTTTTGTGCCTTGTAACACACACGCACATCACCAAGGCTCACTTTGCCTGCCCCTCGCTGTATACTGGAGAGAAAGAAAGGAAGAGGGACAATATTCACAATCCGGACTGTAAAGCACTTTAATGTGTTGGCCAAGTGAAATGATCCTTTGCCCTCAGCCTGGCCCCAAATCCAGAGTCTCAGTCCCGCTAGCGGAGGAGTTGCAGAGAAGTCTGAGACACTGCTCTAGGTGCTTTTGCAAAGTTTGGGATCCCGTCCCCTTGCTGCGGAATTTCTCTCTGCCTCTGCCGAGTGCAGACCGGCGCGCTGATGGGCAACCGGGGGGCGATTGATCACTGGGAGCTGATTGATCATTTGTTTCCAAACAGAATAGGAACGATTTTCACGTGCAACTGCAGACTTGGCAATTCTACATAATAGTGTTATCATGTCACCTGTTACTACAGGGAAATACAGCTTGAAATCCGAGTCTCCTTGGCGCTGTTAAGTATTCATCTTAAACGCATTATAATGCAAATGCGTAAGATTCCGAGAGTTAAGAGACAAATTTTACAAAGTTAGGGTAGGTGGTGAAAAGGAAGTTTAAAGTGCTACTTATTTGTATTTCTTCCTAACATAGATCCAGATTTTTAAATAATTTGTTTTCTGACAATTAAAATAGTAAGCATTCATTGATACAAGAAAGAGGGAAAGTGAATTTTTTTAATCAACAAAAGCCCTATAACCCTAACATTTTCCCTTAATGACAACTTTCCAATTTCTACGATTTTATCGAAAATGTGTTCGACAAAAAGGCGCTGAGAAAAACTAACATTGAAATCTGAAAGATAAATTCTCCACTTACAGGACTCAGATTCATAGAAGCTGAAGGGAAAAAAAGAACATATGAAAGTGTGAAATTAAATATTTGTGTTTCCCAGAATACACACAATTAAACATTTGACTGATTTGCCAATGGCATTTAGCTTAAAATATACACAATGCATAATTCAAATAACAGTTCCTTCTCTTTAAATCTTGTATTTCAAACTTCATTGATTTGAGAACCTTTGATTTGAACCAACAGTATTTAAACTGGAAAGGTTAAGATAATCTATCACTGCCATATTTTGTACCCTCTCACCAATGGCCCAGTGACCAGTGCAGGCTTTGCATAACGCATTTTAGTGTTTTCCAAGTTGATGCCCAGTGTTGCAAATATTCTGTAGACTTCATTATCTACTGTGAATATTGTCATAAGTTTTAAAAAGACAGTCCTGAAAATAACTCAAAAAGAGGCTATTCATTGTCAGACACTTTTATTTTACTTTAGAGGTTGCAGGGATCTATAATACCAGAGCTCTCTAATCTTTCAGACTTAAAGGACCAGAAAAAACCTATATTCCCCTCCCCCCTTTTCATAGTCTAGGTATGAATTGGGATTTTTTTTGCCACGTATAAAACATTTAAATGACAACAGAATCTGGCTTTCTTTAACTAGGGAATAGAAGTAATAGTCACACTAATATGACCTGGGAAGTGAGAGCTCAAGGGTCAGAAAAGTCATTTGGCCTTTGTATGATTCCAGAGACTTCCAGAGGACTTCAGCTAACCCCTAAGATACGAATTGGGTGCACAGGGTGATCATGGATTTCCATCCTGTTTGCTTTGCTTTTGACATGTTTGTTAGAGCTGGCCTCATCTGTGGAGTCTGAGAGAAAGGTCACCCCAGGGCCAATTTCACCCCAAAGTCAAGACCTTACCCTCTACACACACACACACACACACACACACACACACACACACACACACCCTATTAGAAATTGAACTGCTTTCCTACTACGCCTTTAGAATTTGGGCTGACTTTATCAAGCCTCTCAATCTCCCCTGAAGTTTTAAAGGCTAAGACTTTTAAAACAACTCTGAACTTTAGTCTTTGGGATGCGTTAGTATTTCTCCCTTGTTTTAAGTCTGTTGTACTGCCAGAGAGGAAGATGAGCTACGAAGGCTATAAACAGCCTTCACTGGCTATACCTATCATTACTCAGTGGTGATGACACCTGTTACTGTCTTTTCATTTATTTGGAGATAGGACAGTGGGTCTCATTTGGCAAGAAGGTTATCCACAGGTATTTGAGACAAGTACTTGGTCACAAGTCCTTGGTTCTGTGGCACTTGGCTGAGAATGTGGGCTACCAAGGGTAGGCTTACGAAAGTGAAGGGGAAGATTTATTATCTGCCTTGAGAAGTGGGTATGTGTTCTAAGGAGAATGGTGATAATTTTATCAACAATTTTTGCATTTAGTGTTTTGATATAGTCTGATGAGGGAGTGGCATGGGTAGGGACTCTGACAAGCAAAAAGTGAGCCGCTGAGAGAACACAAACTCCTTCCACATATCATCTTTGGGCAGCAATGTGCTTTATTTAGATTTAAGTAGCTCTCCTAGACTCAAGCCTTCGAGCTGGCAACTCCCCCACCCCATGTATATCTTGTATGCAACATTCTCTCCAGATCTTCGTCTCTCAATTATTCTCATCTTCTCCTACCTGTAGAGTGTACTCCAAAGAGAAGTCAGACACCATCATGCAGATTAAACATCTCTGCCATGAAAAACAAAACAAAACACTATGTTTTTGAAGTTTCCAACTCCCAGTCCTACTTTACTGGAATCGTAAGACTGAAGGGGACCCCTCTGCATGTTTCCACTTCTTCTAGAACTTGAAATGCAAAGCCCCATAGGGGCTGAAGTCCCCCCACCCCGCCCCATTTATTCAATGTGTAAATCCTTGGGAGGGGGGCTTACTACTTGCCTGGCACACGACTAATGGAAGACTGTCAAAAGCAGCGCACAAGCGGATGGCTGGTTTAGCGGTAAGAACAATCTGATCAGGGTCTACCCCAGGTAACAGGATTTAAGGTTTGGGCCCCGCAACGTGGCCCTTTCTCTAGGCCTCAGAGAATTCTAAAAAGGAGGAGCCGCCTGGACTATATACCCCAAAAGCCAGCAGCTGGGTTCTAGGTGTGAGGATCTGAATTAAGAGTGACATTTTATCTAACTGCACTTACATGTGTGGAGATTTCACCTGTGAACTCTGAGGTCTGCGGATCTGTACATGCGTAGACAATGTATATGCTCGGGTTTGGGACCAACAACAGCTCGGAGAACCGGAGCCACAAGGTGTCTGTGCTGCGGCTGTGCCCGTCCAAAGGGCTCTCCGGACCGCGCACCCTCTAACCCAAGCGGATTCCGCGACCCTCGGAGGCGGCGGGGATAGTGTCCTAGCCGCGCTCGCTCCCGCGACCTCAGAGTTCCTCTCTCTCTCCTTTCTCCCTCCCGCGCTGGCCGCGCTACTCCAAAGGGAAGTGTTGGAAACTGCAACTGAGTGGCGTTGTTGCGCCGGCAGTCGGGCTTCACAGTCCCCCAACGAGGAGGGGGGTGGGGTGGTGGAGAGAGAGACACACACACACAGAGAGAGGGAGAAAGTGGAGAGAGAGAAGGGGGGGTGTGTCTGCGTACGAGAAAGCGCTGTGGAGCAAAGCAGCTGGAAAATGCCCAGAAATACTTTCACAGCGGTCAAGCCCGGAGCCCCCCACGTGTCCTCCCCCTCCCCGCCCCTCTCGGCCTAGGCCCGCCGTCCCCCGCCGGGAGGGTGTGTGCCCC